ATATGTCTGCACTTTTTGATCTTTCTTTTTAAGGCACATTTACCCAAATCAATAGGCTCAGTGTAACATACTAGCTGGTGTATACTTGTAGGTGTTAGCGGCGAGGTAGTGGTAATGTACAGAAAGTAAAAAGCTCTATTTCCAGGGAAAGAAGAGAGTTTGTGTAGATTTTGTGTGTCATAAAGAGCCTGTGTTTTTGCAGTAAGGTCCTGAGATCCACCTCTGCTGCTGCTTGAGTGCAGATTAGCTGAACACCATGATGCAACCCTAGGTTAAGCAAATCAAAATCCCTTTAAAATAACATGGGACCTCCATTGTGTGACCCTGCTCAGAGAGGCCATGCCAGTTTGAATTTCCTGGTGCAAAATCTAGAATCCTACCTCTCTTTAGGCTTTTTAGAAGCACCTGTGACCTTGGTTGTTGAGCACCATGGTACACCTGGGCGTGCAGAAATTCAATTATCAGGAAGGTTTTCTTTAACACCAGCGTGACAAAAGAGACTGTAAAACCAAATGCTTTGTATCCAGCCCAGTGAAGATTTCATGCCAACAAGAAGAAACAGAGCAGGGAAGGTGCATTTTATTCAGATGAGGTTTTTAATAAAATGTACATAAGTTTACAGCTCTAACATTTCTTCATCAAGACTATCAGAAACATAGCAGAATCACACCTGGAGTGCAACAGGACTCCGATAATCTGCCCGTCAGAGGTATTTCCAACACCATTCTGATTTCACCCAAATAAAAATGGGATTTGAATGAAGCTCTGGTCTTACAATACACAGCCTACAGTTGCACACAGATTGTATTCCCAGTTATCTGACATGTCCAACTCAGACTTTGTGACATTAAGAGTGTCTTTCACTATTTTAGTCAATGATTAGTGGAATCTGCCTCATTCAGATCCACTGGATATTTTCTCATCAGGCTTCCTCAGCCAGAACATAATCTACCCTCCCTCTACCTGTATAAGATTATTAATCCCTTTTTCTTTCTCTCTTGGGGGGAGGGGGAAGTAATCAGTGACTACCCCTCTAATTTCACAGGTGGCAAGTCTAGATTTATTGTAACAGTAAAGCATTTACAGTACACGTAACAAAAACGAAAGGCCATGGTTTAGCAGGATCACCACCACAGCTGATCATAATTCAGGAATGTGTTTCAAAAGCAGAACAAGATTACAGGGTGAAAATACCTAGAGTAAAAATACTTTGAGTCTTTGGGTGTCCTAAAGAGGCCTGGATTTAAATAAAAAGCTAAACAATAACCAACTCTCCAACATGACAATCTTTGGTGGAAGCTGAGTTAATGTAACGGATTCCCACTTTGGAGTGATTGAAAGTCTCAGTTATATCGAGCCCACTCAGTATAAACTTGCTATATTAAATGTAGCTGAAAACATGTCCCGCTACAGTGTTTCGGGATTGGTTACATGGGTTTCTTGCAAGTTTAGGATCTTCTGTGTGCTCCATGCATACTGTAGATTGCAGTTGAGTGCACGCTGGCTTCAAGAGAGTAAGATTGTAAACTCAACACTTATCACATATACTATAGTACTGAGCTGGCTGGAAGGGAGAGCAGATGCAGTTACGAGTCTCGGAAATAGAGCAATAAGATAAAGAAGATGCAGGCTAATCCGAAAGCAGCTCTTATAGCTATGATCATTGTAAAAATGCAAAGGGAACAGAGCGGAGCTGATTGCCTGGCCTGAATTTGTGTGTGCAGAAGCTCTGATTAAGCCTTTCCAAGGAAAGGGTTTAACCAAACTCAAATTTAAATTGGCAGCAAACTGGGAAACAACACCACCACCACATCCCCAGTTGAGAATTACAGAAGCAGAAGATTGTCACAGGACTGACTGGTATTTGTCAACACAGCAGGATGAAATTATATTTGAGTTCTTTCTGTGCCATGAGTGCATTTGGAAAGGGGGGGGGGGGGACAACCAGGAGAAATCTTATATGATTTGAGGTATGACACTTGTTGTATATTTAATGTCAAGGGGGGGAGGGGAGGGGAGTGGGAGGAAGGAGAATCAGAATAAAAATGGCCTCCCCTCATTCTACTGCTGCTATCATGAAGGGAGGAGTTTTCTCCTCCTTCCTAGAAAGTCAATTAGGGACAGCCACTGAGTTGCAGAGCTTAGAGAGAGCGCCTTGCTCTGCTGATTGCTTAAGGCCAACGAGGAAGTTCACCAAGACCCTGTTTTGTGCAGATGGGCCCCTAAACCAGTGACCTCGATGGGATTTCAGGCAGGCACAGTCTGCATTGATCCATTTGCAAGACTGGAAGGGGTACTATTTTCAAAAGCGCCATGTAGCTTAGGAGACTACAGTCCTTGAAATTCAACAGGTCTTGGTTGCTTCTGAAAAGGGACCTTTATCGTTTTTGGCCAGAGCCAAAACTGAAAACCGATTGCTTCAATTTACTGGCTACTGGGAAGTGGCAGAAATAAGAAATTTAATAGAACTTGTTTTTTTAAGTTGTGCTTATGTTCAGAAAAGTGATTTAAATTGTTGCATTTGTATCTCTGTCTAGTGAACAGTAAAAAAGTCAAAGCCTTATGAAATCAAGATTGCCAAAAAACCCAGAAGCTCCATAGTACATTCTGCCACGCGCATTAAAAACAGTGAACTTTAGATGATACAGCGAGATACCAATAAAAAATGGAGTTCAGGTTGAGGTTGTCGTGCTGACAACTTGAGAGGTGGGGGGAGGGAAAAAGTTGATCTGGAAAAAATCAGATTAACAGGGCAATGAGATGCAATTTTCAGGGTTTTCTGATCATAAGCAAAATTCCAGAATTTGGTAGATTGAGCAAAATGAACTCATCTGAACAGAGTGCTCCTGTACATAGTTAAACTATTCACCTGTTGGGTTTACTAGCAGGATTGTTAGTTTCTTGTGCACAGTTTTAACTTGCTTTTCATAAAAAGTGCTTGAGGAATGAGATGTCAACTGCCAACATCCTGGTTGGAAAATTCAATCCATAACAAAACCTAAATAAAGAAATTGAGGAAAATACTCTCAGCTGTCAAAACTACTGTACATTTCCCATTCTCCCTTTCCTGCCTGGCAGTGTAAGATAGCTAGATCTGAATTACCTGCAACTCCGGTCTTCATTACGGACTAATTGGCAAGAAAGCAAGGAGCTGGATCCTAGCAGGAGTTTGAAGAAGGATTTGCCAATACTTTTCCATCAGTACTTTTCACAAAAAGTCAAGCATTCCAAACAACAGACAGAGCAACCGAGCTCTGTAGTAACTTTTTCAAGTAAAAAAATATGACACACCCATTAAAAAAAAAAAAGAACTAGGTTTGGGAATCCAGTTATCAGAGACAATGGGTCCAGTTCTCATCCCATTTATGCTGGTGTAACTATTTATTTCCATGGAATGGCTCCTCATTTACACCAGATTCAGTCCATAGAATCTAGATTTCTCCTTCCTTCCCTCCACTACCTCACCAAGTGAAGTTAACAGTTCAGAGCAAAGTTCTGTCTCCAGGTTCCACAAGTGACCATAACAGGGGATTGCAAAATGCAAGGACAAATCTGGGCCCAAATACTCAGTCTCATCTGTATGCCTTGTATTTCACAGTTTGACATCGCAGATGTTCCAGGCATTCCGCATTCATCTATTCCAGCAGTAACGCATTTGATACTTTTTTTTTTTAAACCAACCAACCAAGCCACCCACCCACAAACTATATCCTCAGTTTAGTTGGGGAAAAATGTTATTTCCAAGAAACTCAGAAACGGGTTCACAGTACTTCCGTTTTCTAGGATGGCTGACAGGGTCCGCTGCCACCACACAGCTACAAAAATCTAACTTGAAACGCAACGGACAAGCAGCAGGAAGTTGCCCACCTTTTAAAAAAGGGGTTCTACTTAACCTGAGCTAGGCTAACTGTGTCACCAACCGCCAGCTATCTATGCTCCTTATTTTCAAGTATTCTTCCCTCCCCTACCTGAGTATTAAGCATATCAGGTCAAGTTCTTTACCCTTGGTTACATTCGTACAGCCCCGTTGAAGTCAGAACTGCACCAGTCCACCAGCAAAATGTGACTCGTGTCACTGACTGCAGTATGGGTTGGGCAGAGGAAGAGGAACAGCGTTTCATTAATCCTCTCCCATTTGGTGGCAGACAAGTTTGTTCTAATTCTCTCTCCTGGCTGTGATGTTAACAGTGAGCTGTAGGACTAAATGTTTTGCTTTGCATAGCAAAGATCTGCTTATATGTAGTTTCAATGTGCCTTCTATGTTCCTTGACCAGCTATTTGGGCACCTGGGAGCTCAACGTCATAGGTCTGAGTTTTTGCAAAGCAGTTTCCCCATGAGACTGGAAGTCTTGTGTTTAAGTGACTGGACCCGATTCTACACTCAGTTACACCAGGTTTACACTCATGAGAGACTGCTGGATTTACAAGTCATGCCCTGATTGACACCAGTGAGAGAGGAGAACCCCCGCTACATACTCCATTCAATAAAGCTAAAGATAACAGTTTCTAGGAGCACATGCCCATCTTGTAAGATGGCAGAACCTAAACACCAGTCCCACACCATCTATTTACAAACTTTTAAAACCTCGGCAAACCAACACTACCCTAAGATTTCCCCTGTGTAAGCCCAGAGAATTCAAGGAGATGTTGCGAGTGTAACCAAGGGCAGAATTTCCCCTTAGTTTTCAGTGCAAAGCTCTAGGTCAGGGGTCAGCAAGGTTTGGCACGCGGCTCGCCAGGGTAAGCACCCTGGCGGGCCCCGCCAGTTTATTTACCTGCTGACGCAGCAGGTTCGGACGATCACTGCCCCCACTGGCTGCGGTTCGCCATCCCGGGCCAATGGGGGCGGCAAGAAGTGGCACGAGCGAGGGATGTACTGGCCGCGGCTTCCTGCCGCCCCCATTGGCCCGGGATGGCGAACCGCAGCCAGTGGGGGCCGCGATCGTCCAAACCTGCCACGTCAGCAGGTAAATAAACTGGCCCGGCCCGCCAGGGTGCTTAGCCTGGCGAGCCGCGTGCCAAACGTTGCCAACCCCTGCTCTAGGTCATTTATTATTAAGTTGTCAAATTAAATCGGGAACAAAGTCATAGCTACGCTCTTAAGAGCTGGCTCCAGAAACTACTGGCGTCAACAGGACTGTCTCCATTGACTTCAAATAGGCATTGGATCAGGTCCTTAGAAAATGAGAATCATGGAGACCTTCCAGAGATCGCGCTCTTCTAGGATGTCCACTAGGAAAGTGGCTTCTCTGGATATGCCAGATGACATTTAAAAAAGGGCAGCACTATTAATGATCAGCAGCCAAAAGCATCCCTATAGTCTGACATTTAGAAGTGTTTTCTGGGGTGAAATAGCTTGAAAAACAACAGATTTGGCAGGGACTGTTTTGTTACCTGGTGCTTGCCATTAAATATGCACGCTTATTAATTAAGGATACTTGCCTTTTTCCTTCCTTTGCGAAAAGACACGGGGGCAGACTAACAATTCCTAAGGAGGTCAACTGTACTCCTGCTCAGCCACCAACAGTAACACATGACAAATATCACAGTTAACTTCCACACTAAACAACAACTATATTTTCCTCTACACTCAAGTGTGATACACTAACATTTTAAAATTATATTATAAATACTAAGCAACTGTCCTTTTCCTTAGTAACACAGTAGGATCATGGTATTTCTGGAGTGTAGCCAACTGTGAGAGGAAGAATATGTCTGAAAGATTGCTTTGCCAATACTTCCATCCATATGTACCTGGGACCTGATCCCAAAGAGCTGATCCAAAGCTCATTGAAGTCTTTCCATTGACTTCAACCGGTTTTGGATCAGGCCCATAGAAAGATACACATTTTCATGTATTTTACCTGCAGACAGTGAAAATTGCCTATTACATCTGCAATGAGGGAAAACTGCTTATAGGCAAGAAGACCAGCACAAGGCCTATGCAATACTTAAAAGAGGACTTCCATGGTTCATAGGTCTTGTGGTAGACTAGTGGCATGTGTCAATTTTACTCCACGTGCATATGATCCACACACACACACACACACACACACACACCCCTCATCAAGTTGCCAATCTACAGCTCCTGGCTTTGTGATGACATTGGTCTCTTCCACAATTCCCCTTGGTAAGAAGAAAAAAAATCATGACAGCCTTTCTACTTCAAACTCATTTCTTCTCCAGAGCATTAGCTTGTCCTGATTGATTTGCTCTGGCATCCTAACTGTATGCTAGTATCAATGGTAATTCATTTTATCCCAAATGGATTTCCCCCCACTGAAGCCAGAAAATATGGAATATTACTGGTTTAAATAAGAATCTAAAAAGTATTGGGGGGAAAATAGCCACTAAAAAAGGATGGGAAAAACCTCGAGAGCCTGGAATTCAATATCCTGAAACTATCTAACATAACTTAAAATGGTTTAACTAAATATCACCGCAACTGGAGTTTTTGAACAAAAAAAAAAATATTGCTATGGTTGCTCGTTTTGACTAAGAGATTGAAGGTCCTGTGAGAAATGCACATTCCCCCTTTCTCTCAGACTGTTTAAGGCTTTTGCTTTCCTGATTTGGAAGGAAAGGGTGCTGAAGCAAATGGGTCAACGCTGGGTAGCTCTTTAGTCCTGGAAGACAGAGAAGCAATAGAGACAGATCCTGCGATAGCCTGTTTGTTGGTCTGAGAAACCACTTTGTATGCTGCTATAGGTTGGACTTCCAGACCCTGCCCATCTTCCAGACTGTAGTGACGGGAATACTTTGATAGAGACTGTGGACGGAAAGGCTTACTAACCATTGAACCCAAGATGGCTTCTTGGGGGAGTGCATGTCCTTGGTTTTTATCATTAGGAATGCCACCAAGATCTTTAAATGTACCTTTGGGAGGAATGCCTTCTTGGGTCTCCACTGGTCTTATGGAATGAGACGGAAGGTTGGCTGGCTGAATAAACCCTACCCCAGAGTACTGAACTCTAGATGAGACAGACAATCCGCATGTTCCTGTATCCAAGTTTTGGAACTTGGAGTTATCTACATGTTGGACATCACCAGTTTGACCTAGGAAAGAGGCTTGAATGTGAGGCTCCTTAGAAACGTTATGAAAAGTCAACTCTTCCAAGCTTTTCTTTTTTGTGAAAGGGGCACTTAGGAATACATCTGCCTCTTCTGGCTGCCTGACAGGCACATTGCTCTTGGAGATGAAGGGAGCTTTGGTAAAGATGTCCAACTCATCATGCACTATTCTTGAGCTTCGGAAAGGAGCCGTGGCAAAGACATCTGGCTCATTGAAAATTTCTCCGGAGTGCTGCTGAAAGGCTGTAAACAGAGCTTTCCCCATGCCGCTCTGGGAAGGCTGGGGCTTGGAATCTTCTCTGGAAGCCACAAATCTTTCCTTGAGTGTCGATTGCAACTTACTGGACTCCTCTTCTTCTTCTGAGTCCATAAGTAAAGGCCTGGACCCACTACAATCCAAGATGTCCACCTCATGGTCTGTCCCCTCTCCCTCACTGCTGTGGAAAGAACTGTTGCTTGAAGGCCCATCTCTTGCGAAGTAATCAGATTCTGAATTGTGCTGAGTTTTCACTTCAAGCATTTCAGGCTGGCCTTTGTACAGAGGAAGTCCATCAGTAGCAGCAGACAGTTTACTGTGCTCAGTGGTTAGGACAGGATATACAACTTGTTCCCTCTGCAAACCTATAAGAACAAAACAAGAGCATTACTCAATGGGCTAGATTCATGTAGTCCAACACAAAAGAAACTTAACCATATCAGAAATGTTATGATGTTCAGATTTAAACTGCCACACATGGAAAATGGGAAAATAAAATAAAATTAAGATCAGGCAAGGCATTCAAAGCACACAAACTGGAAAAAAATTAAGCACTTCCTCACAATTAAGGACACCACAAGTACAACATGTTAAAAAGAAATGGAAGATGTTAGATACTCAGACGTTCCAATTCAACATTCCCTCCTGACATCGTTCTACAAGGATCTTTTCTATAGATCACTCACAAGAACCACAACCTACGTGGGTTTTCATTTCGGAAAACTGCTGTCTAGCGTGAAGTACCAGTGAATGGACAGGTCTCAGTATAATCAACACTGCCTATTGACATAACAGCCCCCTACTTGCAAATAGCAGTAGAGTAGAATCTCGATTTTACAAATCCAATCTTACAAATGACTTCTTATATGAACCATCTTTCTGATGGGGAGGGCAAAAATCATAACACAAAAAATGTCAGTGAAGAACAAGTTGACATTCACATTCTGATGCGTTCAGTGCCTTGCAAATCACTTTGCAGTGGCTTGAAGAACAAGAAAGAAAAACCAAGAATGTGGTGCACCACACTGCAACTTATGCACCATACCTCTTGCAAAGTTGAGATCTTCAATTTTATGAACTCTTGGATTTTATGAATGCCTCAATTCCAAATTAGTTCATAAAATAGGGGTTCTACTGTATATTGTTTGGCATTTTTTAAAGATTTAATTTTTATTTCTGGGAGCTGGCTCACAGAAAAAAGTGGCATTGCACTGAGGGCACGTAAAATACACACACTGGCGTCCCTTACTGTGAAAGTAGTAGGTGTTTTAAAAGAAATAAAACGTGTTTCCTTTAGCAAGGTATCCTACAGGATTTTGTATCAAATCCGGTAATTTTCACAATGGTACTCAAGCCATTGCAAAACAGTCACAGTTAAATTTAAACAACCCTATATAATGATTACAAATGAAATATCTAACACGCTTCTAATGGACTAGCTTGGTTCTAGGAGTTAGTAAGATATTACTAATAAGGAAGAAGTGGAGGCTTACTATCCTGCTGTTCTCTAGTTATAGAAGCTCAAGAGTTGGCTTGTTTTTGCCTTATGAATCACACAGACAGTTATCAGAATACAAGATATCTTACCTTCAAAGAACTATTAGCAGGTTAGAAGTATGTCATTGGACTCATGTTAGCAAGAGGATAGGAAAAAGGCACATGAAAAACTAAAGCAGTATAGATTCCAGACAAAAATATTTGGGTTTTGGTAAGTGATATTCATCGAGCAATAGGACAGAAAAATGCACTTACACTTCCTTTTGCTTTAAGCAAAACACATCTCGCAGTTTTGCAAACTTGCATGATCACCCACCCCCATCCTCTGCATATATAAAATATGTAAACATACACACTGAACTTCAGGCATAAAACACATAATATATTACACCAATTTCTCATAATTAAAGACAATACTCAGATAGACATCCAAACGATTGTTTATTGGGAAACTATTCACTTAAAATACATTACACTGTAAAGTAAAGCAGTGTAGATATAGGTGAGCATTTTATAAGATACTGTACAAAAATACTGTCTACCTTCTCTGAAGCGTATGCTGTCAGGAATGATTTAAACTTAAATACTAATCTCAGTTTGACTACAGTAACAAAAAAGGTCTAATTATCTATATAGATTTTTTTTTTCTCCTTTCAAGAGGTTGACTATATATTTACTGAGTGCCCACGCTGGGTGGTATTGTGTGATTTTTAAAGCAGCAACTGACAAAGACCAAGACTTGCAGAAGCCTTACATTGGAACATGATGTGGTACAGGAAAATAAGGAAAGGGGTGGGGGGGGGAGAAAAGAGGATCATGAGCATGCATCATCACAGATGTAACATACATGCGAATTCGCTGTAATTAATGTTATAATGCAAACTATTCAATATTTTTGTAGACCACTATTTCACTAGACAAATCATTTTACCTGAATTATGATTTTTCCTACAAGCTTATTATGCAGATAACACTGTATCTACAATCATGGTGTACAGAGTATGATCTATAAAAAGATAGAGATAGGAGGGAAAACAGGTTCAATCTAATTTAAGCCCCAATCAGTTAAGGACAGTAGCAGCATCCATCTGAACAGAATATGGAAACAGCACCGGATAGTTACATTGCCAAGGTTCTGAAGTTAGCATAATTTGTTCCATGACATTCTGCTCTCTGCCCTTGTTGTTAGCTTCAGCCCGGCAAAGCAGCTGTTCTATGCAGTATTCCAAACTATGGACTGTCAGGGCAGCCGCAGTTTGTGCACGTGCCCAGCTTTCAGCCCATGCCAGACCAGTGGCTCTGCGCTAGGTCTACATCCTACAGAGATGCATGCAAGGGATGTAGATGCTCTTCTGGGTAGCCACTGCGCCTTCCACTTGTCAATACCTCACACTTAGGCTTAAGTGTGGATGGCCTTGGACATTCGGGACAGAAATTCACCCCCTGCAGAAGATCAGGTCAAAGGCCTCTGCATCATCATTTAGCAAGACTTCAGTGCACAAAACAGTGCTTACACTGTGCCTAGATCTTGTGCTGGCCTCTTGCACAGGGGCCAGTTTCACCCCGAGCCTATGTAATAGTGGCTGGAAGGTACTACAAGAATTAGAGCATACTAAAGATTTTCAAGACAAACAAGTGTGTATAGGTGTGCCACTTGAGAGGCCATGTGTCGACAAAAGTGGAGTTCTATTCAAGTGTACAGTGATTGCCATCAGAATCTCAACATTTGCCAATGGTTACCACACCAGTATCTATGCTACCACACTTGTTTCCTATTCTAACTACAAGTGGGGGAAACTTGGCTCCCCTACACCATGAGGAGTTAACGTTCCTCTGATACTAGCTATTTTTTTAAATGGCCAGCCACTGTATTTTAGCATATTGCTATCATATGACAAAGAAAGATGAGCAGAAATGCAGCAAGGTATGCAAGTCTGAGGTGTCACCTTTGCTTAGTTGGGACAGCACTGTCCAAGAGAGGGGCCAGCCACCCCTCAGTGTAACTTCTGATGGTTCAATGCTTTTACAAGGTAATTAACATTTTAGTTGTGAGGGCAATATCAATAGACAAGGACAAAGTTCTACCGTCATTAGTCACCAAGGGAAATTTTCCGGCATCTTTTCCTGAAGGAAGAAAGTGAGAATTTTGTAGCAGTAACCCTTTAAAAAAAAAAAAAAAAAAAACAACAATCACTCCACCCCACAATGGATTCAACATTGATGAAGGATCCAGGCCCACGTTCTAAATTCTCTGGTTCTCTCAGTGCATTTCACTAAGAGAAGAGTAAAGGATTAGTTACAAGAGTAGCTAGTGCACCAGTCCCATAACTAACTAAACTGCCAAGCTTTTTAGAAATATTTAGGTGTGTGTCCTTTTGGACAGGGGCAGTAGGCCAATGGGTTTGTTCTTACAGATAAATAGTTTTTATATAAGTGAGTTAAAAAAAATAGGGAGATAGGATAAAGTTAGACTCTGAAGTGCTCAAGGTCTGCATGAAGGTGGTGTAAAAGTTAACAAGCAACCCTGTGACAGGAACATGAAGACAGTCATATTTGGCCCAAGCCCCAGGTTTTGCCGTTGATTAGTCTGGAGGAGCATGCAATGTAAACATAAGTGCAAGTGGATCCTTTAAGTTAGCTCCTATAGATAGTGTCCAACATGGACGGTCCTACAGTTCCCATCCCAGGTCAAAGAGAGACCAATGTGACTGATGCACTCAAGGGAAGGCGATTTCTATTTTAAAAGGGTACCAGCCATTTCATTCTATGTCATGGGTGAAGGGTGGAAAGGACCATTCCACAAATAGCTGTGGTTAGAATGTAAAGGGCAGGCTTAGTAAAATTACGACAGTGCTACTAGCTTTGAAATCCTATTTCATGGCACTGTTTCCAATCACACTATCGGTAAGCAAGCTAAACAAGATGCTTGGTTGCCTTTTATGAACACACAGAACATCCTCAATCTCCACACATCGTTTTTTTGGCATCATCTATAGGCCCAGTTGCCAACCTCGATAAAGTTGTGCAAGAATGGGATGCACACAACCTCTCTTTGTTGGGAGATGATACTCTAACACTTTAGCATGCCAAGAAATATTAACACTGCCAACGGGCAGTTGCCCTTCAGTTATCCAATCAGAAAAATGGTCCATACTTGTAAAGTTAGAATATTTCTAAGCATGCTCAATAGTAATAGTTGAAGACTTTATTCCTTAAGATGTTTACATAAGATAGAACTTGGATTAGATAACTTTTTCCCCCTTGTATACAATACTTGGTAGAAATTTTTAGACTCAAACATTGTACTAAAGAAAAACACTCCGAGAACATCGACTTGCTTTACCTTCTTCAGAGAGAAGGTATATATTAAAAATATACATCCTGGGATAGATCAGGATCTGCACAATGCCGCAGTGTAGAATACTCACAATAAACAGATGTAGTTCACATTGCTACAGTAAGTATAGACAAAAAAAATCCCAAAAAACACTATGTGATAACTGCTGCTTTGAGACTTTAGTTTGCATAGATTAGCAACATATAAAGCCTGTAATAACCTTAATGCTTATAGTGGGTGAGAGGGAAGAGACAGCTTGTTACAGGTTAGAATATATCAACACTTGAACAGTTTTCTTCTTTTTATGAACATTGTGCAGTAATTGCAAGCTACTAGAATAATTAACGCAAGAAAACAAACAAACAAAAAAAATACACTGAACAGCTTTTGCCTCAAGTCAATGGGAAACTTTTCATTGACTTTAAAAGGACACTGGATCAGGCCCTACAATTAGAACCTTTGAAAGAATACAGGTATTGCCGGAGCTGAAGTTGCCTTTCAATGCAGTAATTCTGCTGTTTTGTACCAAAC